CGGGATACTCGGGAGGAATGGTTGGACTTGGCAGCCGATAGACGCCTCCTTTTCTTTGTTGAAGGAACATCAAGACACCAGCTTTTCATTTACATGTGCCGTGACACCAACCATAGCTCCTGTAGAATTTCAAAATCCTCTGCTCTTTCTCAACTACAGCTACCAGTACACGGAGTGGTCTAGCTCTGGCAATTTACATGTGCCGTGACACCAACCATAGCTCCTGTAGAATTTCAAAATCCTCTGCTCTTTCTCAACTACAGCTACCAGTACTCGGAGTGGTCTAGCTCTGGCAAGCTACACGTAGTCTAGATGATGCTTTGTTGAAACATACTGGTATTAATTAAGCAAGCTGCCACATGCCCAGCTATCCATACCTCACAGGAGATGCTCAGGTATCTGATCTTGAGAAACCTTGAGGTGGCAAGTGGCAAGCTTGTGGAGGGCTGTTGCCTTGTTGCCTTGTTGCCTTGTACCTTGTACCACGGTAGTTCAAAATTAGAATAGAAATTAGAATGGTGAGGTGGAAGGGTACAACATGTACCGTACTGTACCACTGTACCACTGTACCACTGTACATGTACCAGCAGTAAACGATGAGAACAGCTTACAGCTACTGTACCACGTGTCTTCCAACTTCCAAGTCATTCTTATTTATTTACGCTGTACCTCAGTACTGAGAGCTACCGAGTACTCCTGTGAGAAAATAAATAATAAGTATACAGGTAGTCTAAGTGTCTCTGCCTGGACTCCGGAGCTCTCTGGAGTCTGGAGTCTGGAGTCCTACATGTACAATGTTCCATTATATCTACTAGCGGAAGTGGTACTGTACACTGTACCAATTAACACCTTACCGGTATATACATGGAAGCCACGTGTCCAATATTAAATAAGTTTGGCTACCAAGCAAGGCAATCTTGCTTTTGGGAGATCACAAGTTTTAAGCAATCTCCTGGAACATCACACCGAATCGCGCCTTCTTTCCACTTCATATATCTATTATTCTCCTCCTTTTCCCAGTCTTGATACTGTTAATTCTATTAGGAAACTAAAACCTTGTAGACACTCTTATTGAGAATGGAAAGGCCTTGAATTTATTTAAAGTTGAGGGAATGAACCATTCATTGTTAACTCCTCTCGAGACTATCCCATTTAATTGGTAATCCCACACTGTCCCACATCTTTTCGAGGATCTCATCCCACCGGTATGAACGAAGCATTTCAATGGTAGTTGAAGTAAATATAGGGCTAAAGGTAGTTTCTACTGTGCATAGTTTTGTACGAAACTTTTTTTTCCACACCTACCTGTCTACCAAAGCCGATGGACGCCATCGCCACGGCAGCCCGAAGATCCAAAATGCGAACAGAGCAAGAAAGATCCTTTGTGGTACCTCTCCTCTCTCGCCCTCGAGCTCATCTCATCTCACAATTCAATTCTCTACTCCACAAACAAAACAGAAACCATGCAACCCAACAGCAACAACAGCAGTGTCAGTAGCACCATGTGGGATAACGACTGGTCCCAAGATATCTCCATGGTTTTGGACTCTTCCGAGCCATGTTGGTCGGAAGACATCTCCGACGTTGTCTCACGCTCCTCCCTTAGTACATCCATGCATTCCCTCAGCGCATCGATGCACTCCTCCCCACAACAACGGGACGCCTATGGACATCGCATTGCCCGACGAGCTGAACGAAGCCGCAGGCGACACGCTCAAGCTCAAACTATGAAGTTGAAGCTGCAACGCAGTCGCGGATCACGAAATCTGTTTTCAGAAAACAAGAACGAAGAAGTGTCCCAACGACGATCCTCCGCTGGATCCTCTACACGATGAGTTGGTGGCGACGAAAGACCTTCTTTTGACCATCTCTTCGAGCAGCTCATCAAAACCTCTCTATGCATCCATTTGATACCCTTCAAGGATTTCTTCTCTCCATATCCTGTACTTTAGTAGAATAACCCACTAGCTAGCGAAAACGATTCCAATAAGGTGTACTCAGGTAGATCGTAAAGTTGTAAGCTTGTTTCTGATTGAATCAAGTATGAGTAGCGAGTGCCGTCATCTCGCTCAGGATGCACAAGCTTCATTTTTCGAGCAACTCTATGTTTGCTCCCTCATACTGGATGATTCCAAGCACCTCGATCAGCAACATAACATGTACATGAATGTAATCAGGTGGCGAAGGGCTGACAAGAAGCAAGGAGGATGCACCCGCCAATCACCCACTGCCGATTAAAGTTTGACTTCATGACAAGCCAGAACCCCTGCCATCATTGATCACGATAAAAAGCCTGAGGACTTTGGATAGACGATGAGCTATGACGACAAGGTTTACCAGGTACTCAAGAACTACATGTATTGCTGTGCGTAGCTACTAGCTAGAGCTGAGCCAAGTGTAAGGAGTGAAGATGAAGTAGGGACAGCTGGAAGCGTGAAAATACTACATGTACCAGAACTCTTGAGTGCGGGCACAGACATCACATTCATCACTGACCACGGAATGCAAAATGGATTCAAAGCAGAAGAAGCAAACGGCCAACGGTAACAAGAAGGAAGCAAGCACGGGACGAATCTCGAATTGTGGTGTCATGTTTGGTTTGGCATGCATCTTAGTCTAGCTTGCACTTTTCAGAAGTCTCATCATTGTAGTAGTACGGAATTGAGTAGGCAAAACGAGGCTTCGTGTCAACTTACGAGCTCAATTTGCTGAAAAATCAGTCCTACTAGACTAGTAGACTGCTCCGACTGGTCATCATCCAACGTACCAACCAAACTAAGAGTCCGTGACTACAAGCTAGCTAGCTAGTGTCTTGGGCCATCTTGGCATTCAGCCAAACAGCCAACAGCCAAACCTATTGGAGCTGTTCTTAGAGCTTCGGAAGTGCTCTCTCCATTCTCCAACGCCACACAAACCGAGGATCGATGGCTACGGTACTGGAGCTCGTTACATGTATTTATCCCGTCCCTATTGTTCCAGCCACACTGCAGTACAGAAGCTAGCTCTTGAGAATGCTGGTACCGGAGAGGCCAGCTCAGCAGCACACCACCAGCCACCAGCTAAAGCTCTCATCTTGCATGCAATTTTTCTCGTAAGGTTTCTGGTTCTGTAGCTAGCTACAGTAGTAGCTTGGACTCTACTAGCAGCACCAGCTATTTTAATTAATAGTCTAGTAGTAGTACATCTACAATGTACATGTATGTACTCAATTACAGTCTTAACAGTTTTTGCGGACCACAGGATACCATAACTACTGCGGGGTACTCAGTGTACCGGGTACTGTAGTAGATTTAGGCCACATCACGTCCTCACGACTTCGTCAGAAAGACTTGAGTACTGAAAGCTGTACTGAAGCAATGTTTGTCAACAGCACCATCTTGTACCTCAAAAGTTTGGCAAGATCATTATTAAAAGTCAACGCACCAAGGATAAGAGAGATCACTCCGAGTTTGTGGTACCGATTTCAAGCCACTAATTCTCAGGGACATGCTAGGAAAATACTGGCACAGAGACTCTCCCCATAAATCCAGGAAGGGACGGATGTCCGGACGCCACATCTTGCTGGAACTCTTGCTGGTTCTAGTGTTTTTGCTGGAGCACTCAGTAGCAAGCTATCAGTACACTGTACGTAGCATGAATGCCAAAGAACCTCTCTCCTCTCACAATTTCAGATTGAGCCAACTTTGCAACTCCCCACCTCCAAAGCCAGCTAGTTCTGCCACAATCTATTCTACTCTTCTAACGTAACAAACAACGATGAGAAACAGCATCAGCACCAACGACCTCATGGACGACTGGTCCCAAGATATCTCCTCTGTTGTCGAGTCGTCAGAGTCTTGGTCTGAGGATATTTCCGCGGTTGTTGCCAGGTCTTCCCTCAGGAGTTCTGTCAATGTGTCCCCACAAGCTAATGACGACTACAGCATGAGGATTGCTCGACGAGCAGAGAGAAGGCGCAAGAAGCACGCTGAATCTCAAGAAAAACAACTAAACAAGCGACGAAGCTGTACCGATATACTGCAAGCCGCCATGGAAGCAAGAAAGGCTTCCAAGCCTTCGACTGGGAGTGCCAGTAATGCAACTTGGTCCAAGCGTTCCACATCCAGAGACTCGCTTTCACAAAAACTGAAGGCACTAGCTCAGCTTTGATGAATATACCCGGCACCATCTTCCATCTTCCCAAACGCACAAAAAAACTAAATGGCCTATTCTTCCGGTTTTGCCTTCCTTTCATACCATAGATCATAAGTCTAATCAATAACTTTAATTAAGCAAACTCCATCTCAAGCTCATCTTGTGCCTCAAAAGGTGCTACTACCGGTACGCTGGACTGGGGATATCCAGTTGCGACGCAGACCAATGCCTTGCACCCCGATCTCTTTTCACTAGTTGCAGAAGCTGACACATTCGTCGAATTGAGAGCCCAACATCCATCGAGGCAAGCGACATCGTCGCCGCTGCCATCAAAGCAGTTTACTTCGCAACGGGATAGGGCTGCTCCATTGGCTCGAAAGCAATTCGTGAAGCAGCCAAACTGTTGGCGTGACCGCTGTTCGATTGGTGGCATACGGAGACCATTACTAGTCTTTCTCGTCAGACCACGAGCACTGCTACCACTCAGCATCACAAGAAGAAAGCTTAGAATTGCAACCGCGACAAGCACAATCCTTAATTGGATGCTTTCTGAGAATGGTTTTGTCTTGGGATCAGTGGGATTGTTGTGCTGGGTCGGGTCTTCCATCGTGCACCAGAGTTTGATGATACGCTTGTTACTGGAACTCTGAATCGAGCTAGTTTATGGGAGCCCCTCTCTTCTTGCAGCTGGAATTGTAAGGACTGTTTTCAATGCTACCAATACCACCCACCCGGCGGGGTGCGGCCATGTCGTGGTCGATGCTGTACATCCAAAACAGCTCTGGTTGCTGGATTCTGCTCCATGTCTACTATCCCTCCTGTTTCTAGCTGGATCACTTGACTTCCTGTTCGGTTTCATCGCATGTGGAAGATAACTTTGTACATCAGGGCGATGCGGTAAAACATGTTATTGTTTGAAATCAAATCTTCTTTAAACAAATAGACTTTTTTCCGAACTTTACCGCAACTACCTGTTTATAGCTGTTTGGGCAGGCACGATGTGTGAATATTAGTACTGGTACTAGCTACCGGTAGTACCTGGAATTGAATGACTGAGGACTGACTCAACAGCAAAGTCTCGTCCAGTACTAGCTAGCTAGAAGTCTAGCTAGTAGAAGGTTTTGTACGGCTCAACACCGGGATGAAGTACGCTGGCTCCAAGGCAACAAATAATCAACAAGAAACCACTGCAATGTTCACTTCTACGACATCAAAGTTTTACATGGAGGAGGATCCTCTGATCTGACTACTGAATGGCTGGTACGCGAGACACCTTGCCAGCCAATTGCGCAACTTCTAACCCAGATTTCCATTGAGCCCGAACAACAACAAAAAAATCAAAAGTCAATTGAAGGATTCAGACGAGAAGTGCTTGAGGGGACCCATGAGCCAAGGCCCAGGTGTTTCCCACGCTCCTCAAGTCTGCTCAACGGCCACAATGGCCTCTTGGTACTAGTCTAGGGTGTGACGCCAATTACCTATCTAAGGATGTGTACACAGAGATCTGAGCTATGGTTGCAATGCCACAGGTCGTTACTTGTGTTGCAGAGAGTGGGAGATATGGAGGAGGAGGTTGGAGAGGAGAGGATATTGGAAACGAAAGGATGATAGGAAATTTCCGAGAGCCAGAACAGCACTTTGAAAAGATTCTATAGCAAGCTATCAGTGCAGCCAAGACCTTCGGGATTCCCAACAGCTGCCTTTACAATTGAGAGAGGCTCAAATTTCTGAAGGCCATCAAGCGAAAGAACCCCAAACCTCCTCGTCAACTAATGCAACTAAGTTCTTGGTGTTTGCGGTCCTAGTAGACCAGATTTCACTCTAGAAAAGATATTCCAGCACGGATAAGTCTGCTAGTCAAAAGAGTTGATCAACATGTATGTCGGAAGGTCCACCCTCGGTAGATTCAATGATTCGATTCAACCGACGAGCTATGATAACCAACTGTAAAGGCGACTGCCTGCATAATGTATGTATGCAACTGACTGTGGGGAACCCAACAAGGGACGATACGGACGGATTGACTGCTGGTTGAACACAATCTTTCTACTGTGACTGGCGGGTCCGTTGCTCTCTGACGGTTTTGCATCACTTTCTGTTGCGCTGCAGAAGAGTGAATAATTCAGCAGTTGTGCAGCACCTCTTTTCAATTACTTTTCTACCGCACCGCAGTCGCACCGCAAAGCAAAGCTTTCCGCACACGAACATCCCACAAACTCAGTTCTTATCAGTCTGAGAGCTGCTTCTTGTTTGTTTGTCTTTTGCTGGGACTCCCAGGAGGTAACAGAAAGAAAAGCCAATGGAAGCAGGAAGCCGCAATGGAAACACCCTGTTTAGCCTCCCTCATGGCTTGTTTAATCAACCCCCTTTCCCAAGACAAAACCTCATGCAATGGTGCGAATTAGGCGAAACGTCGAAACCAACAAACACAAAGACGCCGCCAGGAATAGACCTTGAGCAGCTGAATTCAGTTGAGTTTTTAGTGGCAGTTTTTAAAATGGAGTCCCGCGAGTGAAATGAGTGAAAATCGCTCAAAAATGACTCAAAAATGAGCGATCACTCAAAAATGACTCAAATAATGAGTGATTTTTCAGTCGTTTTTCAGCCGTTTTTCAGTCGATTTTCAGTCAAAAGCACTCAAATGAGTCAATTTTGAGTGATTATCACTCATTTTTCGCAATGAGTGCTTTTCACTCAATTTTTGAGTGATCACTCATTTTTTGAGTGATTTTTGAGAGATTGAATCATTCGGTCACGACTAATCACAGATGACATTTTAGCTGCTCAAGGTCTATTCCTGGCAGCGTCAAAACACAACCTTCACAGACTACTAGCTAGTAGTACTAGTTCTAAGTCTTGATCTTCATTTTAAAAAACACCGAAAAAATGAAACCCAGATTGGACTGGTCAGTGGTTTTGGGTGCAGACATGACTTACCGAGTTGGATTGTCCAGGAGGAGAGCATCCGTGCATACACACATGTGCGGCATCTTTGAGCTTAAGTTTCCAGCAGCACCGGCACTGAAGCGTGAAGTTGGGGGCCTTCTTGTCTAACTCAAATAATACTAAAAGATCGGAAAGGAGAATCTTAATTGAGGAAGGCTGCCGCGACTTGACCCGTTTGTGCTCTACTGACATATATAAAGACGAGGCTCTTTTCTTTGGAAGAGTCATTTGTACAACTCGTACATTATGCATCGGAGAACATGATCATCAGAGTACAACATGAGGAATTTGAGGAGGCAATCATGAACAGTTCGAAAGAGGGCTTTATTAATATTGTCCAAGAGCTTGGTTCATTAAATCCTTCCGAAAGCGGCATTGAACGTGATACTGGCCGCACAGCTTGAATGGTCAAAACGAATGATGCTCACTTTTTCGCTTTCGGTCCTCGGTCCTCGGTCCTCGGCACGAAAGGGAGAAAAGAGAAAGGATCACAAATTCGTGAAAAGCTCCTTCACCCCCAACATATTCAAAAGAGAAACTATTAATATCACTGTTACACCATGATGAAGAGCCAGCAAACATCTTGTCAGAGCTGCCCCCAACACCAAGTTGCGGTTCACGAAGAAACCGTTGGTGCAGCCTCGTCGCCTCTGGAAATGTACTTGAAATCCATAATCTCGCCTGAAGCGACGGGCATTACCTTGGTTCAAGACAACCCCCTGATCAGTTCCAGCAGAAGAAGAAGAAGAAACAACAAAAAGATGAAATCAAGGAGACGGCGTTGTGCGTTCAGTAGTCAAGCATTGGCATCACCTTACATGGATACTACAGACCTTCTTGACGATGGCCAACGGTGGGAAGCAGAGCCTCTGGATTCTTCTTCGGAACACAGCACGGACAGCACGCTTGGTTCTTCAAGAACTAGAATGTCGGCCAGCAGTAGCAAGCCCAAGCTTCCGAAACGACGTCACAGTCCCATTTTCAATGATACAGAAACTCCTCTTAACTTTTAACTGCAGCTCTCAGACAACTCATATACACAATCTTTGGCTTGCCTGTGTGCTCATATATACATCTATACCCGTATGGAACGAAAGTGGATTCAAACAGTGCAAACTTGGAGCGATAACTGCTTGTGGGGCTGGATCTGGGTCTAGTGTCTCTTGACTATGATCCAACCTGGTGACAACCCAGCCGCTCAAAAGACCTTCCAGGCTACAGAGTTGAGCCACTACTTGTAGCACTTTGTCTTCTGCTGGTTCCTGGTCAGTTTAGTCTTTGGCATGATGATTTTTAGGGTATTTCTAAAGTTCCTATTCTGATCAGTGCTACCCGGAGCGGTGAGCCTCCTTGTCGGGCAGCCTTGAGCAAGAAGCAACGAATGCTGTACCGGGTGGGTACCAAAAGCTGTACCGAGTTCTCTTTCCTGTCTTGCGGGCTATCCAGCTACAACTCTACTAGTAGCTAGCTGAGCTACGCTATCCGATCGGGTTTGGAGGCGTGGACGAGTGCAACACAAGAAGCACCAACCAGCGATTCTGCATTACAGTAGAAACAACAAAAATTATACCGTGTGAGACTCGAACTCACAACCTTCTGTTCCGAAGACAGATGCTCTACCATTGAGCCAACGGTACTGCTGACAATTCAATCGAAATGACATCACATAATCCTTAAAGAACCGAATCGAATCGTAACAAAATCCTTTTCCAAAGCCAAACATGGGCTACCGTACTAGCTACTAGCCAGTAGTATCATACTATTTTAGCAAAAAGTGACTGAACTAATAGTACATGTAGCACATCGTATGTGGTCACCAGAAGTTGCATAACAGAACAAGCCAGTTTGTACAGTACGAGAAGTACCTAGATTCTATTAACCATGCTACCGCATGCACAACGCTGCTTCCTCGAATTTCGAGAGTTCTAAGAGCTCCGTCCGTTGCTACACTTTAAACTTTCCGAGCTCCTCTCCAGGAATTGCATTGATAAAACGGTGGTCTTTCGATTGAATCATTCGATTCCGAGTCGCGCCACATCTAGCAATCGACTGAATCGAATCTCTCTGAGCGAGTGGCTTGAGGGTCCTCCGGAATCGAATCCAGTAGACCACCATGTTGCAGAGCACGATTTCGCGAAATCCATCACGAGTATTTGTTGCTGCGCATAAACCGCCACTCTCGGCCCCACGACCTGGCTGGCCAGGTTTCTTGCTCGGGGGCAAACGATATCATGAAGCGGGGAAATCATTGGAAGATTTTCTGCCGCCTTCCATCGAGGCACCTCCCCCCTGCGATTCATCGTCATTGTCTGATGGAGCTCGCTCCACCGACGATTCGCCAGCCTCTTTCGATGCTGCTTGTGGCTGTATGGATGTCTCCTTGGCTTGCTTTGACAACGCGTGCTCTTTCCACGAACCGCTGCTTTGACTAGGCGGGGCTTGTTTCATGTGGAGGAGAGCTCTATAGTCGGCATCATCCGTTAGCAACCCTCGAGGACCTCGATGTGTCATGACAGCACCTCGGATTGGCGGGGCCTGTTTCATATGTCGCAGAGCAGCTTCATCGTCTTCCCCGTCCAGGAGCCCTCCCCTGCCTGGCTGTGAGATTGTTCCTTGCATTGGTGGGTCTTGCTTCATGAGCCTCAAGGCTTCTCTGTCGCTTTCTTCGTCGAACAGTCCTCGGGGCCCTCGCGGCGACACCACAGCTAGAATTGCAGGAGCTTGCTTCATGTGGCGCAAGGCTTCTAGGTCACTTTCATCTCCAAGCAGCCCTTGAGATACGACCACATTTTGGCTTCCCGGTGCCTGCTTCATGTGGCGCAAAACGTTGTCGTCGGATACGACCACATTTTGGCGTCCTGGTGCCTGCTTCATGTGACGCAAAGCGTTGTCGTCAGTTTCGTCGCCCAGTAGCCCCTCTTGGGATGGTATCATGTCACGCCATCTCGGTGGCACTTGTTTCATGTGACACAGCACGTCTCTTTGCGGTCTGTCCTGTATCAAGTTCGGCTCCGAAACTGTGACCATGTCTCTCCGTCTTGCATGTTTGGTGCCCTGTCCAGGTGATGGCGTATTGTAAGTTGCTTGTATTGAGATGACATTGCTTTCCGAACAACCTCGCAGGAGTTTTCGCGACGACACAGCAGCCGCACCGCTCAGTCCAACATTCTCGGGATCTTTGATTGCGCTTCCCTTCGACATTCGTCGCGACGCAACTACGGCGATTGCCGCTGCGCTCTGCCCAACTTCCCCTTCTTCGCAATCATTGTTGTTTGTTGACGAGTTGTGTTCTCTAGGTTCGCAGCTCCCCTGACTGCCTTCGTCGTTGAGGGCATCCCTTTCAACGCTCATATGAGACGACGAAAGCTCATGCGTGAGCTGATCTGGTTCCCCAGCAATGGAGAAACGCACAGTCGACCGCCTCCTGGAAGGGGTGGAGTGTTGCGACTCTGACTGCTCCTCAAGATACAACGAGGCACTCTTGGCCCTCTCGGCAAAGGCAACAATGTTTGACCGAATAGCCACCTTGCTCTCCATAATCGAAAGATTCCTGTTGCTCTTTTGCTTCCTCTCTTTGTCAAAGAGGTACACTCTAAAAATGAGGTTCCCAAAAACTGGAGAAACCATTGTCAAGATTTTGTATGAGCTGTGATGTTCCCAAGCTATTGCACATTCAAACAGCAAAACAAATCAGCTACATCACAGCACTTACTCAAAATCACCACCACAAAATCATTGATCCAAATAGCCACCTTTGGCGAGGTGAAAGCATTTTCACAGAAAGCGTGTGTAAGAGGAGGCAGCAAGCCAAAGCAAGAGAAACTTGACCATCCTTTTCTGGCTTACCGACTTGACAAAGAAGCTTGCCTGAGGTTCTGATCCCATGATCAAGAGGACAGGAACCACAATCAAGAAAATTTGCAGATTGCTGAACATCGCAATGCCAATAAACTTGTTATTGGATATGCTGTTGGGGATTGATCTAGCAAGATAGCACATGTAGCAAGCAGTGCCCATCAGAAGCAAGTGAACCACCCCAATAATGCCAGCAAAGACCACCCAGTACTCTGACTGACAGTAACCTTCTGACTCGAGTGCATTGCCAAAGACATCAGTGCTGGTCACCACCCTGGTCCATTCCAGTGGGTCTACGATAGTCCATGTGGTCAGAATCACCACATCCACCAACAAGACCAGGCCAATTGTTAGCACCGTGTCTTTGGTGGACACAATGACAGTGGTCAATTCTGCAGCATACTGCAACACAGCGTGAATGCGCCGGATGCGGGCAAACAAAGATCCAAAGGTGATGCAGAATCCCACACTGTATAGCCACGGTATAGCCATACAGGCAGGCACTGGGCCATCTCCAGGATCTTCTTGTGCCATGGCAATGATTGTTGATGTAGACACGACGCAGCCAAATAGAACCAACAATAAGAAGCTCGGCTGTGTGACTTTGATTGTGGCTCTGTTTCGATTGTGAACGACCCATGCAGCACACCCCGCAGCCACAAGAAAGCTGAGTGCTACCATGATCGAGGTGACGACGATCAAGTCTTTGGGGAGCAAGTTCAATTCTTCCGGTACTTCACTGCTGCAATCATCTGCAAGCACAATAAAAATGATGTGGGTCACGATGACAAAGCTAGAATCACCAAAACAGACATTTTCTTCCAAGTTTCAGTCTTACCTCCGGTCCATTTGATGGATTCGCAGATACATTCGCCCCTGGAATTGGCTTCTCCGTGGTCTTCAATGATTTGAACAGGAGAGGTAGTGAGGTGGCGAGCTGGATTCGACTGCTCACCTATTTGTATTGCTCCACTCACCTGGATCACACGGCAATTCACAGTTGACTCCAGCGGTTCCCTGGGGGCACAATTGATTTCGAAAATACTGAAAGTAGAGTTCGTCCAGAGTCCCATTTTGGAGTGCCGTCAAGATCCATTTATTCATCAAGGTCGAGGTTCTGCGTGGCAGTGATTGCCTCAACGGCCATACAACATACTGAGTGGAAAAGGATTCCCGTGTCACATGCAGTGTGTAGTCTTGGGATGCCCAGTAATGGAGAATGAGTTCATCGTAGACAAACAACGAGCAGTTTCCCGCTTTGAGCAGTTTGATACATTCCTTCTTGTTCATTTCACAACTAATGTAAATCCCGCGTGGATATTTCGTCCAGGCAAAGGCTTCCATGAAAGTGCCTTTGGGAGTGCAGACGGTGGCTCCGGCATCTTCGGCTTCTGCGAGCGTCGTGTAGTCCGGACTGCCTTCCTTCTTCTCGAGGTACTTGATGGTGGTGGCCGTACTCCGGAGCCACGGATGCGTCAAATCGGCACGCAGGAACCGTTCGGGATTGGAGTAGAAATCGGCCAACATGAAATCGAACGTGTCGCAATGACCACGGCCGTTGGTACGGTTGCAATCGTTGGCAATCAGGTTAAAGGCATCGGTATAAAAGTCGGGTGCCTCGAACAATTCCACGTGCAATTCAATGCCGTCGTCTTGGTAAGCAAAGATTTTCAGGCGTTCCAGCAAGTCAAGCTGGAAGCCACGAAAGCTAGCTTCTCCCGTCTCAGGATCCTTATCCACAAAGGCAAACGGAGGCGAATGCAGCACTCCTCCTCGCAGGAAAATCCTGCTCGGGACATCCTCGTCGTCGTCGAATGCTACTATCGAGGTCGAGGTTGTCGCGGTAACCAGGCTCAGCGACGACATGCTCATCATAGTAATGAGCAGTGCCACTGACGGCACCAATCTCCCAACAGAAGGGACCATTGTCTACTGTAGAGCTCTCTCTCTCTCCTTGATCAACTCAACTACTAGAAACAATAGATAGCACTACTAACTAACTAGTAACCCCACTGGTCGCCTCTGGATATGATTTGCCTCCGTTGGTTGCTGGGGCTGTGCGGGGTTCTGCTGCGCTGCGGAAAATGGCTGGATTGTGGAAAGTTGTGGAATTAACACAATTTGGCCGTTTGCCCCTTCACCAAGCAAGCTGCCAAGCAGCAACTGGGAGTGTTTGTCGCGTTACTGTTAAGTATGTTCTGCACGTTCTATTTTCTGTAAACTAATTGAAACTTCATCAATATGCGTCGACTTCCACGAAGAGTCATTGATTTATAGTGTTCGTTTCTTTAAATGGTGCATGGACAATTTGGGAGTTCTTATACCGTCCGGAAACAGGCTATTACTAGTAATAGCTTCATTTAAGCGTGAAACTGCAGCTTGGATTTCACTAAGTCTTTCAAAAGTTGATTTATTTTTGTTCAGAAAACAGTTTCCATTTCACACTTCTGAAACTGTGAAACTGTCAAAAGCTTAAGCCGGAGTCGTGGTTCAGGACTTTCTCTAAAGTGACGTTGCTCTTTAGTTGCACGTTGCACGTTGCACGTTGCACGAGAACTCGAGTGGTGGTCCAACACAATGAGCTTTTAAATCTTTCGTTGTACCAAAGATGAGGCCAAATTTCAGTTTTGAACAGTTCAGTACTGAAATGTCCAGCCGGATCTCACGGTTCTAAGCTCGTTTTGCCCTCAACGGACTAAGGGTCTTTCACACTTTTATTGCTGTATGTGTATGTGTGTGTGTGTGTGTGTTTGTTTGTTGCAGCTGTTTTCGTCGCTCGTTAAGGATAGGGATTAATCTTGTGTGTTCTGTTGGACACAGTAGTTTCTATTAGTTTTAGGTGGGTTGTGAGCCATCAAAAATTTACACTATAGTGAAACAGTACACATCAATGAAAATAGTTCGACAGCTTCTGTTAACTCCTGCTATTCTGGCTCAACACCACACCACTTAACTTAACATAATATTCTTAAACTTGTTTGTATTGAGCATGTTCGCCTATGGCTTAACCACCAGTCTCTATCTTAACCAAAGAGTCCATTTTTGGTTCGATTTGCTTCTTAACCAGGGTTCTCATTCCCCCTATGTGTTAAGTCTTGTGAATACCATTTACACCTCAAACTTCAAAGTGAGTTGTGAGCCAACATTTTTGTACTAGGAGATACCTGAGCCCTACGTGTAAGTTATGAAACCCTCTTTAAACTAGTACGCATGGGTACCAGTACTGGCTGGCTATGCAAACTCGCTAGTGTGTCCAGACAAACACGGTGGAGGTTTTGCCAAAGACATAAGGGACATTTTCCTTGTTAAGGATAGGGATTTATATTGTGTGTTCTGTTGGACACAGTACTCTGGACCCATGGGTACCGATACCACTGTGCCCGTACTGGCTGGCTATGGAGACTTGCTATCAATAATGTGTCCAGTTGAACACAGTAAATGATTTGACCAATCAAATCTCTTTTTGACAGTTGAGGGCATCAGCCTCCGGCTGCTTGTTCTCTACGTCTTACACTATCAGGGACTGGCCCGGCTTGACTGTGACTCTGACTCAATTACTTCCTCACTTTTCTCAATCATCTTGATCAGATTGAGAAATTGGACTTTAGATAGTCTAGATGTTCCTCACAGCTTGCAGAGCAGAGCTCCTGGACGATGTGCGACCTGCTGGCTAGCTAGAGCTACTGGAGTATTATTAGTACGGTACAGTAGCGATCTCATTGGGTTCTTTATTTTGCTCAATGTTGCGTTGCCAGCAGCCTTTTCACTCACAATTTTCCTTCTCGCAAGCAATCAAGATCGATGCAACTTACTGTTTCTTTCCACAACATCACATTCTGAATTGAATCACTGCTTGTATTGTGCCTTTGCTGCCTGACAAAGGTGGACACATAACTTTAAAAAATTATGGACCAGCGACCAAACAAACGCAGTATTCCTCTGCCACTTTGCTTTTTCTACAGTTCCAGCAGCAGAAGACTCCATACAGGATGGTGGACCAAATGATTGCTAGCTAGCAGGATCAACCTGCTTTAATTTTCTTGAAGTAGACTAAAGCATCATGATGTCTGTGATAATGTAATATGCACACTTTTGCCCTCAACGGACTGAGGGTCTTTCACACTTTTATCGATGTATGTGTGTGTAGGTGTGTGTACGTTGAGTGCTGTGTGAGATGTGTGATGTTGTGTGTAGGTGTGTGTGTAGGTGTGTGTACGTTGAGTGTTGCCCTCAACGGACTGAGGGTCTTTCACACTTTTATCGCTGTATGTGTATGTGTGTGTGTGTGTGTGTGTTTGTTGCAGCTGTTTTCGTCGCTCGTTAAGGATAGGGATTAATCTTGTGTGTTCTGTTGGACACAGTAGTTTCTACGCATGGGTACCAGTACTGGCTGGCTATGCAGACTCGACCTCGCTAGTGTGTCCAGATAAACACGGTGGAGGTTTTGCCAAAGACATAAGGGACATTTTCCTTGTTAAGGATAGGGATTTATATTGTGTGTTCTGTTGGACACAGTACTCTGGACCCATGGGTACCGATACACTGTCCCGTACTGGCTGGCTATAGACTTGCTATCAATAGTTGTCCAGTTGAACACAGTAAATGATTTGCCAATCAAATCTCTTTTTGACAGTTGAGGGCATCAGCCCCGGCTGCTTGTTCTTGTGTGAGATGTGTGATGTTGTGTGTGTGTGTGTGTGTGTGTGTGTGTGTGTGTGTGTGTGTGTGTGTGTGTGTTTGTTGCAGCTGTTTTGGTCACATAGGGGACACTTTCCTCGTTAAGGATGGGGACTGGTATTGTGTGTTTTGTTGGACACAGCAGTTTGTACACATCATTGGTACCGGTACTGGCTGGATATGCAAACTCGCTATTAATAGTGTGTCCAGTCAAACATGATCTAGGTTTGGCCAAAGATATAAGGGATATTTTCCTTGTTAAGGATAGGGACTGATATTGTGTGTTCTGTTGGACATAGTAGTTGGATACCGGTACTGGCTGCCTAGTAGCGGTACTGGACGGCTCTACAGACTCCCTACCTAGTATGTAGTGTGTCCAGTTGAACACAGTGTAGGTTTGGCCAAAAGATGTTAAGATGATCGCCCACCCGGAGGAAGCCAGCTTCGGTCTGCTAATAGAAATGACGTACGAAACATAAGAATCTTTTGCATATGTACGGAATTTGGAATCTTGGTATACGAAATCTCACCGGATTGAGGTTTGCGTGTAATTCGAGCCAAATTCTAGCTTGTAAGCATCGAGTGCGCACCTATTCTAGCTTTGTCTCTAAGTGTTTCAGACATGCCAAGCCTGTCGAGCTATCCTGGCAGCGCCAAATTTCAATTTTCATTGGATGTTCTCGACCGGTGAATATGTACTTGACAAAGGGCCATCAAACATATCGTGCACCTCCCGTATTTTTGGTTTCGTGCCATTCTCCGTTGCTGGCTTGAACAATACTAGTGATGGAACGTAGTACCGGTACTGCAACAAACACTCCTAGCACTGTTCGCTTGTGGAAAGCTAATGCTTCTATTGAATATGCTAAGCTGAGTTCTAAGGAAGGGGACTGGAATCTTCCAGGTTCGGCTGGTACAGTGTCGTCTAGAACAAGGAACAATGGCAAAGGAAGACCAAATTACATGAGACGTTATGACGCAGAGAGTGATGATGAAGATGATCCAATAGCACTGGAGTTCATAGAAGATTCAGCAGCAGTGGAAGAAGCCGCCACCACGGAAGAGGAAAGTGAGGATCAAAATGGGCCCACTTTCAACACCAAGCCCCATGAGAGAGTCATTCTGGAACAATTGGACCATTGTTTCCGCCAGATGCATTGCCCCAGAGAAGAGTGTGATGGGACCCTCAAACTCGACATACACAATTGCTGCATCGCATCCTTATTCAAACTGGAATGTACAAACGAAGATTGTGACTATGTCTATCACAGTGAAAAGCCAACCGCAACAACAATGCATGCCAACGATAAAGTTGAAAGAAGCACCGGCAATGCTTTCAATGTACTGTATGTTTTGGGTAATCTTGTGAACGACAACGGCGGTACCGAAGCAGCCAAAATCCTTGGTCTTTTGGGCTTACCGAATGACACAACTATGCAAACTCGTTCGTTTGGAATAATCGAGGAACGAATTGCCCCATTCCTCAGGGAATTCACCGCGGAAGTGATTCGTGAGAATATAATTGAGGAGGTCCACCAATCCACGCCCAATGAGCAAGACTTTCTCGACTGGATGACGGCTTTGAGCGATCCGAACGGCACATTACTAAAGGAGAAAATCCGTTTGTTGATGGGGGATACGATATGGCGTGGCAACAGATAGGATCGGGAGATTTGAGGAACTCGGTTTCTGGTCATGGTGCTATTGTGGGTGCTAAGACGAGAAAGATCATCTCGTTTGGCATCAAAAGCAAGGTTTACAGCAGATGTGACGCTTGGGCGAAGCGACATGCCAATACAGAGGCCGCGGACCGTCCAGCGGTACCTGACACGAGTGTACGTAGAACCATGATCCACAAGACTCATCAGGATCTATGGAAGCGGCTCTTGCCTTGGAACTGGCCGTTGGTCTGTTCCGAGAGTCCAAACTCATCTTGCGACGATTGTGCTGTGACGATGACTCCTCCATTCATGCCGACTTGCAGTGGAGTAACGCCAACTACAAAATCAACAATCAAACCAATGCTCTTCCCAAGGTGAACATGACGAAAGGAAAGAACAAGGGCGAACTCCAAGACCGCCCCGACAAAGGAAAGTTACCAGGCGATATCCCGGAACCCAAGTTCATGGCCGATCCCAACCACCGACGCAAACAGTTGACGGGTGAGCTCATCCGTTTGGATCTATCGACAGTCGACAAGAAAAAGGGGATGTGCCGGATGGATTCTATTCGTCTTAGCAAGAACTTTGCCTATTTCATTCGTATGCTTCTACAGATCCAGGAGAGTCAATTTGAAACCCGCGGCAAGGCAGTTTTGGATCACCACTTTGACGACCATTCAAACTGCGGCCCTTGGTGTGCTAGATCAAAGGAGACGGAAGAAGAGTGAAAGGCAAGCAAGAAATTCTATCGCAAC